ACACATAAATATTCAATAAATAATTAGATTCATATCACTTAATACTTCTCATACTCACCACTTAATTTGGGGCAATGCTCTTTTATGGGCACTCAAGCTGGAGGAAAAGAGAAAATGGGAAGATCACCATCCATCTCCAGTCTTGTATTGAAGTCTGTTGTAAGACTGTGTCCTTGAGTTTTCATTCCCTAATGACACCATTTATATTTCATGGAGAGAACATTGATAAATTATTCCCCAGGATCCAGGGTTATTAATATTACCCTCCCTGTCCTCAGCCGGGTCTAAATCCATGAGCAGCCCCCTTGGGAATTTTCTTCATGAGTGCAGAATTTCAGATGTATAAGAACTTTTCTTTATTACCATCTACTTCAAATGTCACCTTCCTTATCTGCAGGTCATTTCCTTGTCTACATGGACATTCAGAATAATTTCCTCCCTCCAATTACATTTTGTTCCTTGAAAGTATTTTATAATCGGAGTGCATGTTGCTCTCTCTTTCTGAGGCTTTTTTTATTTCAGGAAAATGTATGAGGCCTCTCTAGTTTAAGCATCTGGATCTTGTGTCCTGCTACTTGTTCTTGTATATTGTCAGTGTGGAGATAATAAAGTAGCATTATGTTCTAAGTGGAGAATCTAGGGATAAAAGCCAGGCTAGTTATAGTTTTCCTCATCCTGCTATGGATCCAATTTCTAAAATGTTTTAATGTCTGAATAAAGATTTGGAAATTTAGAAATCTAGCTGATACAGTAACTATAGTAAAAAGTAGACCATTAAAATTTTACTTATGTGATTTAAACATTTCTATAAAATTAACCAAATCACTATGTTTTTGACTTGACTCGTTGTCATTATAAATGTTTATTTGCCCTGTTAGCTGATATAACAGGTCCCATAAATGTCTTGTGGGTCTTATGATACCCAAGAGGCTTTCCATTTTAATTTTTAGTTTACTATTTGTACTTCTAGTTACTTTTCCTCAAAGTCCACATCTCTTTTTATTTATGTTATCACACTTTGATTTTAAATTTTGGCATGAAAATTCAATTAACACATTGTTAATGAAGAAGAAAAATAAAACAGGAAAAATGCAGGTTTTAAAAGGTTAGTTTAGATTATGGACTTTATAAAAGTATTTACTCTGGTTGGGGTAATTCTTTAGTGTTACCTATTTATTAAGTTTCAAGGGTCCATAACCTTTTTTTATTGTCATTTGGCACATTTAATTTTTAAAAAAATATCTTTTTATTTCGGAGAGGGAGAGAGATAGAAACATCAATGATGAAAGAGAATAATTGATTGGCTGCCTCCTGCACACCCCTCACTGGGGTGATTGAGCCTGCAACCCAGACATGTGCCCTGACTGGGAATCAAACTGTGACCTCCAGATTCATAGGTCAATGCTCAACCACTGAGCGACACCAGCCAGGCAACACATTTAATTTTTTTTTTATATATTTTATTGATTTTTACAGAGAAGAAGGGAGAAAGATAGAGAGTTAGAAATATCAATGAGAGAGAAACATCGATCAGCTGCCTCCTGCACACTCCCTACTGGGGATGTGCCCGCAACCAAGGTACATGCCCTTGACCGGAATCGAACCTGGGACCCTTGAGTCCACAGGCCAACGCTCTATCCACTGAGCTAAACCGGTTAGGGCGCATTTAATTTTTTAAAAGCAAATGTGTCCAGAAAATTATTTTTTAGATGTAGACAATATTGTTCTAAAATGTCATGGAAAAGCAAAAGACCTAGAATAGTTTAAATAATTTTGAAAACAAAACATGTGTAACTCACTTAATATTAAGGCCTAATATATGTCTGCAGTGACCACACAAAAGAAGGACAGACACACATACCAATGGAACAGAACGCACAGAAAGTCACCCAACTAGTTTTTGACAAAGGGACAAAATCAACTCAATGGAGCAATTAAACATCTATAGATGAAAAAATGAGCCCCAACCTTACAGAAAAATTAATTCGAAAGAATCATGAATTTAAATGTAAAATGTAAAGCTATACAACTCTTAGGGGAAAAAATTAAAACACGGGGGCAAAACTTTGCTACCTAGACTCCAGAAAAAAGTTCTTAGACTTTATTTCAAATACATGATTCATAAAAGCAAAAATCAACAGGTTAGACTTCATCAATAAAAAAACTACAAAGTGGGAAGAACTATATATCCATCAAAGGACTATTATCTGGAATATTTAAAGAATTCTCAAAACTTAACAATTAAACTCTAAAAACCCAATTAGAAAATGAAGTAAAAAGTGAAGAGACATTTCACCCAAGAGGGTATAAAGAGAGCAAATAAGCACATTAAAAATGTTCAACATCATTAGTTATTAGGAAAATGCAAATTAAAGCCACAATAAACTATTACCATGCACCTATCAGAATGACTAAAATAAAAAAAAATACTGACAACACTGAATGCTGGTGAGGATGTAGAGAAACTGGACAGCATATATTGCTGATGGGAATGTAAAATGGTTAGCAGACAGCCATTCTGGAAAACATTTTGGTAATTTCTTTTAAAAATATACAAATACCTAGGTCAGGGTTGGGTGCAGGCTAGAAGGAGTCAATGGAGGTAAAAGGGGGACATCTGTAAGACTTTCAACAGTAAAAATAAATTAAATATATGTATGTATATAAAATATATATGTACACACACACACACACACACACACACACACACACACACAACTATCATATGCCTTGGTGATTTCAGTCCTGGAAATTTATCTCGGAGAAATGAAAACTTAAGTTTACAAACACAACAGTCTTATTCGTAATAGCCCAAACTGGAAACAACCCAGATGTCCTTCAATAGGTGGATGGTTAGACAAACTATCAAACATCCATACTATGGAATACCTCTCAGCAATAAAAGGGAACGAATTATTGATATATTTAGCCACCTGGATGAGTATCCAGAGGATCATACTGGGTGAAAAAGCTAATTCTAAAAGGCTATATACTTCTTGATGTCATTTATATAACATTCTTGAAATGGAAACATTATCTACACTAATAAAAGAGAAACATGGTAATTGGCGTACGACCGCTACCCTTCCCATTGGCTAATCAGCATATCCTTATGCAAATTAACTGTCAGCCAAGATGGCGGCCGGCAGCCAGGCAGCTGGAAGCGAACATGAGGCTTGCT